GCTATGCATATGTAGTTCTGTTGAAAACAAAAAGAAGCTTGAAATGTTCCACACACACCTGGAGATTCATGTTTAAGTCTGGGCACCTCACTTTAGGGATGTGCAAAGCAGAGCACATTCACAGAAAATATACTTGGCAAAAAGTACTCAAAACTTCAGAAGAGGGACTGAAGAAATCTAGGGGGATCCAGTGGCAGGAAGAGTAGCTGATATATTACACCAAAAATTTGGGCTTGAAAAGATTTTGAAAAATTCCAAGGAGATTACTTCAAAGACAGTGAAGAGACTAGATGCCATAACATTAAGTTATTCAAGGAAGTGGGGACATTTAACTGAAGAGAAGCAAAGACACAGGAAAGGAAGGTAGGCAGGAACAATAACCATTTTCAATACCTACAGGAATGTGCTATTAATGAGAAACAAGACTGACGTTGCTGGCCTCGTAAGACAAAACTAGAAATGAGAGGTCATGTTTTAGCTCAATATTAGGGAAGACTTTTGGATCAGATGACAATGGTTATCCAGGAAGAAACTGGGATCACCACACCTGGAATAGAAATAGAAGCCAGTTAATGGCTACAGAGAACACTACTGGGAGGGAGTGGAATATCAGAAGCCGATTAACAGAAGGTGACTATATTTGATAAGAAACAGCATTAACAATCTGGGAAGAGAAGTTTCAAGGAGTTTTAGGGAGCAGAGGATGGAAAGATGAGTGCTAGATTCAAAACAAGACAGAAGTAAACATAGCCATAGAAAGAGGTAAAGAACACAAATTCAAAGAGATGACCAGCAAAATCTGACCGAAAACATCTTCCTCCAGAAATCTTGCATGAGTAATATCAATGGGTGCTAGAGTACTTAAGATTGTGGCTTCTAAAGGCAAGTAAGGCACATACTATCTTTAATAACAATACTGTAGAGGGAATATGTCCCTTTGTCTCACAAAAAAGAAAGAGTATTCTAAGGAATTAGACAAACTTGGTTCCAAATTAAGATTACCACCATAGGGCCGGGCGCTGTGGCTCATGATTGTAATCCCAGCACTTTGGGAGGCCGAGGCAGGTGGATTGCCTGAGCTCAGGAGTTTGAGACCAGCCTGGGCAACACAGTGAAACCCCATCT